CCCGACAGCCAACATGTCGGACATGGACATGTCGGCATGCAGGGGGTAGGGCACGTAGGGCTTCATGGCAGACCAAAACCGCTCCCCCCCCCCCCCCCCCCCCAGCGGTTTTGGTGCAAAATTTGCCTATAAAAGGCGGTTTCAGAGAACTCAATTCTTCACACCTCCTCCTCTTCCTTCTTAAAATTTCAGCTTTAAATTATTTAGTTTTTGCGATGAACGTTTATTCGTAAGTTTGTTTCGTAATTACTTTTCATTGTCCTTTGTGATTTTATGTTAGTAACTTAATTATTTTTCATTGTCCTTTGTGATTTTATGTTAGTAACTTAATTACTTTACATTGTCATTTGTGATTTTATGTTAGTAACTTAATTACTTTTCATTTTCATTTGTGAATTTATGTTAGTAACTTAATTACTTTTCATTGTCATTTGTGAATTTATGTTAGTAACTTAATTACTCTTCATTGTCCTTTGTGATCGAATGTTAGTAACTTAATTACTTTCCATTGTCATTTGTGATTTTATGTTAGTAACTTAATTACTTTTCATTGACATTTGTGATTTTATGTTAGTAACTTAAATACTTTTCATTGTCATTTGTGAATTTATGTTAGTAACTTAATTACTCTTCATTGTCATTTGTGATTTTATGTTAGTAACTTAATTACTTTCCATTGTCATTTGTGATTTTATGTTAGTAACTTAATTACTTTTCATTGCAGATGACATTCCAAAGGTTCACGCTTGGGTTGCGGTGGAATGGTTACACGGAAGAGACCGAAAAGGGTGTAAGTTACGTCGGTGGCAATTTTTATAAAATGAAGGTCCGTACGAGACCGATGCTTGAAGAGCTCCATCAAATGTGCACTCAGATTACCTGCATGGATGGCACTAGAAGAGTTGATCGAATGGTGTATCGATATCCAAACAGAAATGACGGGTCGCTGTGGCATGAGGAATTCCTCCTTACCACTCAGGAGGACGTTGATGCCATGGTCCAATTTTTGACCACCAATAAAATTAAGCAAGCGGAGATGTTCGTTTACACCGAGGTCGTCGAAGGGGATGTAGGTCATTCTGGAGATGGCCAAACATCTGGTATCCACGGTGGGAGTGTATTATACGAAGATCATCCCCACCAGGATTTCCAAGAGTCGAGCTGGAGGCAGGAGTATCATCATGGTACTGGAGGAAGTCATCAATCCTTCCCTTCATATGAAGAAGAAGCTCAACAGGCGGATTACAACCAACAAGCAGGCTACCAGTACCCACCCGACTACAACTTCTATCAAAGCGGTGTTAGTTACCACAACTACCATTACGGAGCTAGTGAAGGTGAAGGTGCCTTTCATGCTGGTAGTCAGATGGAAGAAGAGGTCAATCCAAGTCCAGTTAGTAACCCTGAGGATGAAGAAGAGGAAGGCGAAGTTAGTGCAAACAGCGACGATCCGTTGGAGGGTGCTGATGATTCCGGCCCAGATTCAGACGCAGATGGTGATGAGGTAGCTCAGGACCGTGTACCTATTACATACTACAATCACATTCAAAGTGAAGATTGGTATGTTGATGCCGACATGGACCCGCCAGATGTGCTAGTATGGGGTCCACTAACTGGCTTTACGAAGGGGCAGCAATTTGCAACGAAGAATGAGGTCCGACACGCTATTTCCACTGAAGCAATGACTCGGAGTTTTGAATGGCAAACAACCCATTCCGACACAAAGAGGCTGCTGGTTCGATGCAGAAATGAAAATGAGGGATGCAAAGCTAGGGTTCGGGCTATCAAGAGCAAGAGAGTCGGCCATTGGGTCATATCCCGTGCGGTGAACACACACACATGTGTGTCATCAATAACATCCCAAGGCCATCGACAGTTGAAATCAAGGGTGGTTGCCGCGGCTATCAAACATCTAATTGAGGAGCAGCCCGACCTGAAGGTCAAAACCATCATCGCCCACATTTCTAGTCGTTATGGTTATATCATTAACTACAAGAAAGCATGGCATGGGAAACAGAAAGCAATGGCTACCGTGTTTGGTGACTGGGAAGAATCATATGCATTCCTTCCCAAATTGATTTTGGCGTTGGAGGTGTCTAACCCTGGCACCATTTTCTCGCCTCGCTACCAAGATGAAGAAATTCAATCGCCGGCGCCTGGTAACAATCGCCATTCAAGCGTCTTTTCTGGGCCTTCAAGCCATGTATTGATGGTTTTCCATACTGTGTTCCTGTGATTCAAGTTGATGGAACATTCCTTACCGGCAAGTACAAGAGTACTCTACTGATTGCCAGCGGAGCAGATGCAAATAGATTAGTATATCCATTAGCCTTTGCCATTGTGGAGGGAGAGAATACCGATAGCTATGGCTGGTTCTTCAGACAAATTCAGCTCCATGTCACTAGGCGGACGAACCTGACTATCATCTCAGATCGCCACGCCGGAATACGGGCTGCTATCTTAGGCTTGGATCCAGCGTGGAACTGGTCACAGAGATGGTGCATATGGCATTTCAAGAGCAACTGGAACCATCATTTCAAGCGAAAGAAGCTTGCTGACAGTATATGGTGGATCGGTAAGCGTTCTAATTAATTGTGTCTCTGCACATTTTTTCATTTGTATAAAAGTATGGAATGTTTCAATACAATACAACACTTATGGAGACTCTGTTATAAAGAAATGCATGTCTAAGGAAATGGGGACTTAAGCGATCATCATGATCCCCCCATGACCTGGGAAAATCGGGTTCTAAGCGATCCTCGGATCCCCCCTTTTTCTGTCAAAAAGACTGTGTTTCTAAGGAGATGTATACCTCTCCTAAGAGTCTTACGAGTGTACTTGTATTGGCAATAAGTTCGATCTTGCTTATCTGATTTTTTTTATATTCAACAGCTGTCGCGTACCAAGAGAAGAAATTTAAAGAGAAGATGCAGAATATCCGTCAAATATGCCCTGAAGGTGCGCTGTGGCTTGATCAACATGACCTTGAAATGTGGACTTTTCATAAGGACGGAGGTCACAGATGGGGTATTGCCACAACAAACTCAAGCGAGAGTATCAACAACGTCTACAGGGAATGTCGTGCACTCCCCATCTCTGCAATTGTTGAAATGACATTCTGGAAAACAAATAGATGGTTCGTCAACCGTCTCCACTGGTCTGAGAATAGGGAGGCACAGGGTAAGGTACACTCCGATTATGTCATGAAAATAATGGAAAAAGATAATCGGAAGAGCTCTCGTCACACCGTCACTGTGATGAACCGACATGCTGGCGAGTTTTCGGTCGAGACTGGGCACTGGGAGGATGGGAGACGTGGGGATCATTGCCAAGAAGTCACCGTCAACTTTAGGACTAAAAAGGGGGAGTGCTCTTGTCAGAAGTATCAGGGTAGAGGGATACCATGTTCCCATGCAATGGCTGCAATAAAGCACAGGAGCAAAGACCCTCGTCATTTCGTCAGTCCGTTCTTCAACATTGACTCACAAAAGAGCACTTATCGTACTAGTTTCCGTGCATTGCCAGATGAAGCTTACTGGCCAGTTTATGAGGGTATGGTCATCATTCCACCAATCGGTCTTAGGCGGGTAACAGGGCGCCCACGGGTAAAAAGGATTCCAAATGAAATGGATCAAAGTGGAAGACCACCGCGGGGGCCAAGGCGGTGTTCCATATGCAAAGTACCCGGTCATGATAAACGAAAATGTCCCGGACCAATTGGTCCTCAAAATGCAGGGCCCGATGTGGTGAACCCAGATAATGGCGCTTAGCTTGATTTCATGCGTTTGTTCCATCTTTGTTTATTAATTTCAATGGTTACTCTACTTTTATGTTGTGTGCTTAAATTTGGTGATACGCCCCTGGGGGTGTATATTATCAAAGTAACGCAGAAAACGACTCAATCGAAGAATCGATTGAGCTTGAATCAAGAACGAAGCGCTCTTAATACAAACTTGGGATAAAACGGAACCAACGGACAAAATAGCTGCAGCTCATAAATAGGCCTAGCTAGGGTTAACTTTCGTACAAGCAACTCATAATTACAATCTAATATGAATAAGAACTAAAAAGTAGCAAAAAGGACCTAATCCTAATCGAATAAGGAAAACAATTCTGTTTTTACAAAGGCAGAATTTTGTGACTTCGTACTAACTTCGCGCCTTTCGTACAAGGCCTTCTAGAACTCCGATCTTTCATCCGATTCCTTCCCTTGGTAGATAAACATTCCTAGTTTCATGTTGTAGAAGCCTTTGGTCTCGAATCAGATCCATGCTCCTTGAATTGAGCTCCAAAGTAGGCCTCACAAAACAGTTTTCTGCCTTAGCCATTTTCTGGCAGTTTTCCAGTTTTGAGGTAGCAACTTTGAGGCCTTGGAAAACAACCTTAATGACATCATCTGGATCCACCAAGCATACCATTGGAAAGATGGTAACTTTTTCTGAAAAACAAGCCCTTAAAATCGAATTTCCATCAAGCGAATTGAGAGAACCATGCCTCCAAAGTATGTACCATGAACACGGATTTTGACTAAGCCAAATAATGCCTTTCTTCTTCCCAACTTTGATAGCTTCTTTGTCAAGTAATTGTGACGTGAGTGGTGGGCAATTTGGGATCATATCATTTGGTGCAATTTTTACAAACTTAGAGATTTGCACAAAATACAAACTTTGGTGCAATTTTCCATCTTTTTGAATAAAACTTTTCACGAACACAAACACACTACATGAAAAAACTAAAAAAAAACTCCAACTAAAAACACCATTGTTCAACTAAATGTAAACAAAACATAACTTGAAATAAACACAACTCGCACACTCATGCATTATTTCGACGATTTGCCCTTTGTTTCCTTGTGCGATGGGCGACTGGTCTACCGGGTGTAACTGATGGTGGAACGGGTGGCAGATTCCTATTCGCCGTAGAAGGGCGATCCTCCGTGCTATGGCGCCTCGGTTCCGTGAACGATGTCCCCTCCGTCTGCGGTCGAGGGCTATCCATGCTCATACGGTGGGGAGTGGATTGCCATTGTTGTTGCCATTGGTGTTGTGGTCGATTCCAAGGTGAGAAGTCTTGGTGAGGACTGGATTGCCATTGTTGTTGCCATTGTTGTTGTGGTCGCTGCATAGGGGCATAGTCTTGGTGGGGACTTGAGTCTGAACCCTCGGCCCAAGTTGCTGAGGATGTGCCATCATGAAATGTACTTGGCCGTTGTTCATACTGAAAGTTGGGGCGGAGATTGTATTGGAAGCTCGACCACGGATCATACTGGCTTCCGTGCGTGGGATCATAGTGAGTACTCCCCCCTTCACCGCTACACACCTCCAAAGGAGTAGGCGCCTTCCACGCCTCAATCGGCTTGATCTCCGGCACGTGAGGTCGATCCCTTGTAGCTTTGTTTGGCCTTCTATGGACCGGCGGAGGCACCGGCTCAACATCCTGCACAACCGGCTGCGGTCTCACTGGGGGAACTGGAGGGTATCTATGATGGTCACACCCGCGCGCTCGCATACAACCAAGGAGATTGTTCGCTATCCTCCGAATGAGCCCAACCTCTCGACCCGCCGCCAAAGGATCTGCCGTCCGCGCGAGGTCGTGGATTCGCTCGATGCCATCAACCTAATTCGAAGAAAATAACAAAGTTAGCCATTTAAAAAAGAATGCACCGCATGACTAAAAAAATAAAAAAAATAATAATTACTTACCAAAGCTCCGTCCGCCGCTCCTTCGGGGGTCATGTAGCGAACAGATTGTCGACGGTAGGTTTCCAGGTATGGGTCATGGTAACCCATCCTCCCCACGTTAGATGCCGTCACAATATCCTGATCTTGCCTAACATTCCAAAGGCCGATCAAGCCTTTATACTCCTCCGGCCAATTAGTAGGCCCCTGTCGACCATCTTTCCCGTGGTACACCTTCTGACTCTCCGGGACATCCAATGGTATGCATTGCTAACGTCCAAATTGTCGTAGACATCGATCCGGCAAGTGCCACTCCACTATATGGTGGCAGATTAGTGGAACTCTGGTGCACCATTGACCGGGATGTAACGGGAATTTGTGAACGTGGTGCGCAACAATCCGTTCTGGATACGGATCGAACGTGAGCTACAAAGGTTTATAAAAAAAAAACCATTAATCAACATAATAATATAACATAAAAAAGTAGATTTTAATATCGTATTATGATGCTCACCTCTGCTTCCCAAAGGCGATCAAGCCTCCTACGATACTCCTCCAACTTATGCGCTCCTAGGTTGTCGCATGTTTTTTCACCAAGCAACCTATTCAATCCAAATAGTATGGAGTGTTAATACATAATACCCAGTTCGTTATAAAATATCCAATTAGTAAAAAATTGTGAGAACTATGAGTGGGATAGAAAACATTTACCTACAACCATAAGCTTCATGTCGTAGGGGATGGTCGGGACCCCATTCCCTGTCGGGTTCAACCTTCGGCGCAATCCATGGCAAATGCTCCCAAGCCCAAAATTGGACGATGAACATAGCCCCATCAATCTCCTTCACCGCTCTCGCACTAGCATTACATAGAGATCGGTAGAGATGAGCTAAGCAAGCAGATGCCCAACTCAGGTTTCCCATGTCATCCCAATCACCAAGTATGATCTTCAACCATGAATTGCTGATTAGGTTGTTGGATTTCTTGGGGAAGAAGACTCCTCCGATCATGCCGAGGATGTAGATACGTGCATAAATTTCTTTATCACGTTCCGAACTTTCCTCCGTGAGGGGAATGCCTCCGAACTCAGGGTTGTGCTTACGCCTGATCTCCGCTGTCAACCAAGTGATGGAAACTTGGCCCTTGGACAATGGTGGATGACCATCCGCATCGTGATCTCCCTTCTCTGGCGGACACAACCCGGTGACCGTCCATATAAAATGTTGCCAACCACTCATATTGGCAACAACTTTAGGTGGTGGCGTAGAATCCACACAAAAAACATCACCATCGATGGGGAGATCGGTTAAGATGGCGATGTCCTTAAGTGTGATGGTGCACTCGCCTTCACGAAAATTGAAGCAGTGTGTCTCCTTTCGCCATCTCTCTACCATCGCCGTGATGAGTTGGCGGTCGATCTTGATCCCATTGAAATGCCGAATCGAATCCAATCTTGCCCTTTTTAGAAAGGGCAAGATGACGTCGTTCCATTCAAGCACATTCGTTGTGCCCCTATAGCGGACTATATGGTATGCATCCTAGAAAAAATTTAAAATTTCATTATAAGTTGATGATTTATACATATATAAATATATTGTAAGATACAATTTATATATAAATCAAGGTTGTTTTAGAGAAATATAAATTATCTAATAAACATTTATTTTAACATAACTAAAATGATTTTCTAAGATGCAATATTAATTAAATCAAGGTTGTTTTAGAGAAATATACATTATCTAATAAACATTTATTTTAACATAACTAAAATAATTTTCTAAGATGAAATATTAATTAAATGAAGGTTGTTTTAGAGAAATATACATTATCTAATTAAATATTAATTTTAACATAACTAAATAATATTATAAGATGCAATATTAATTAAATCAAGGTTCATTTAGAGAAATATACATTATATAATAAACATTAATATTAACATAAATAAATAATATTAAAAGATGCAAATATTAATATACATTATCTAATAAATATTAATATTAACATAACTAAAGTAATATTCGAAATTTAAGTATAAATATTTTTGGTACACATAAAATCAAATATATTATTTTGTTAATCGTATTGATTATTTTCAATAATTTAAAGCAATACAAGTACACTCGTAAGACTCTTAGGAGAGGTATACATCTCCTTAGAAACACAGTCTTTTTGACAGAAAAAGGGGGGATCCGAGGATCGCTTAGAACCCGATTTTCCCAGGTCATGGGGGGATCATGATGATCGCTTAAGTCCCCATTTCCTTAGACATGCATTTCTTTATAACAGAGTCTCAATAAGTGTTGTATTGTATTGATTTAAATTATTGAAAATAATCAATACGATTAACAATTAAGTAAATTATTGTACAACAAATAAATTACTTTAACAAAATACAAATTACAAGTGATGATAAATAATATGTACCTTGTGGTCGTTCCAAACGTCTCTTGAACGATGATTTGCTTGATCGTATAAAACTGTCGGATCAATCGGTCCTTGATCAACATAATATCGTTGATTGAAAATATCAACATTCGGCCCAACCTACGATAGCATAACAATAACATAAATCATTAGTATATAAATTAAATAAATCATTATAACAACAACAACAATTGGGAAAAATGAGTACGTACCGTTTGATAATCATCATAAAAAAGACCCTCTTCTTGAGCGAAATCGGCCATTCTCTCGGAATCCGGACAGAGGTTCGAAGGTTTTTTAGTGAAAACCAAAGAAAAAGTATTTTCGAGGCAGATCGAACTTAGCCGCAACCAACAAAAAAACTAATTCTAAGGTTGGGTGGGAAGGGGTTGGGTAGAGAGAAGTTAGAGGGAGAGAGGGAGAGAGATGGATGGTGTGCAGAAAAAAGAAGAAAAGGGGGGGGGGGGGGTTTATAGGGTTCAAACCGCGTGGGGGAGGGTCGAAGGAGTAATTTCTCGCCACCACAAACCACCCCCCCAACACGCGGTTTTAGATTCCCGACAGTCAAACCGCGCATCAGACACGCGGTTTCATTTTCCCAACGGTCAAACCGCGTCTCGGGCAGGCGGTTTTTGTGGACGACACGGACTGCTGACTTGGCACACGTTTTATCCGTCTAAACGCTTCTCCGATTGGCGGTTTGATGCTCCGCCACGTGGCAACACGGTTTGACAGCCATGCAAGGTCAAACCGCGCCTTGGGGGCGCGTTTTTCGCTCTAACCGCCGCCTGGATTAGCGGTTTTATATTAAACCGCTCATTAAATGAGCGGTTTTAAATAAAGGATGGTATTTTTGGAAATTATTTGGAGTGGGTGGTATTTTTGTAATTTTTTTTTAAACGGTGGTAGTTTTGGATTTTTTCCGCAAAAGAGAACGAATTACCTCCAACAGTCGGTTACAAAAGTGCACCAAGGCTACTAGTCGAAAATGGTGACCTTCGAACCACCTCTGCAAAGCTCACTACTGCGGGTACGCTAAAATTACTACATCATCATCAATTTTTGTCTCAACAGATGCTTATGAATCCTTAGTCTCAGAAGGACCTAATTCACTAATAGGATCTCTTGCTACAACCTTGTCAAGACCTAGATCATTGCCATTTACAACTTGTGCTTCAACAATAACCACTTCTTCCTTAACCTTGGGAACACACCTCTTGGTACGATTTGCAACTTGTGCTTCTTACTCCATTCCGACTCCACACCATAAGGTATTACTCCATTGTTGAAAGGGAGTAACCAATGGTGTAGAACCAATGAACTGACGAATTAAACATCGATCTTCACCCCCTCTTTTATACCATGAAAGGAAGGCGGAATCCATTTCTCAAGCGCTCTAGAGGTCGATATCTCATACGATTCTTTGGTTTAACATCAAATAACTTTGCCTAAGTGATCACTGTGATGGGAAGGCGAAGAACAGGATTTGAGGTGGTTTAGGGCTTGTCCCCATGGGCCTGGGCCGCACAGAACCCCTCAGATTGTTTGTGCGAAGTACGAGTCAAGGAACCAAGATCCTCAAGGCAAGACTGACCCAACACCTCATGAAAAGTTGGTTGAGTTCAACTCCAATCAAACACCAAGCTAGAGCCATCAAGTTCAACTCCACCTCGGCACAAAGATCTGAAAAACACACCAAGGCAGATAGAAGGCAGAGCCAACTGCCAAGTGCAAAGCCATGTCAGCCACATCCAAGTAGTTGAGAGGAATGTAGAAAGCCAAGTCAGCGCAACAATTACTTCTTTATTTGCTCCAACAAATGCTTATAAATAGGAAGGGGTACGGAGATATGGAATGGTCAAATTCACAACTCATAGGTACTGCAGATGGGAGAGTAAGACTCGTTTAATTCTTTTGATTAACATAAGCGGCCCTCCTCTGGAATCCGACCATGGCTAGAAACGGCGAACTCATCGGAAAATCTCCACCGTCGGAGATGACAATTAATTGCCGGAACAGTTACAAGCCGTTAGCGAGTAATTGCGAATTTTTAGTCCTAAATTTATTTTGCATTAAATCTTTCCTATATGTGTAGGTAACGATTAATTGGCCTATTTATTGTTTAATCTCATTGCCAATAATTCATGTCATTAATGTTATTAACCACATGTTCTACGATTTTA